TGTTTTCAATATTGGTTCCACTTTAGTATGTATCATATAAATTTGCCCTCTAAATTGGATTATTTTCAGGATTTTATACACATGTTTCACCCTACCATGCGGTTGTAATATATGTCAACATTTTGGGGTTTTGAGATTTTAGGAAAAACCCCCATTGAAATTGCTTATATTTATATTTGGTTTACAACAATCGATTGGTAGAATTGTAGTTATATGTATGTTCCCTATATTTTCATTTCAAAAATTGTTCAGTATTTCTATGGTGGAGGGTATATCCAAAGTTCGGCCCAGCCGAACTTAACGCTTTTTCACTTGTTAAAATTCAGATTTCTATCTTGAGATAGGTCAGTATTATTGTACGTCATCCACCACAAGATATCCCAGTCCGGCGGAATAAGATAATACATAAGATCGGTCGTAACCTCCATATGGGAGCTATGTCACAACATTTACCTTCACTGCAAATTTTCTGCCAAGATGTTTTGTTTTTTCATTGGGCATTTCTTGCTTTCCGTATTTCATAAGCACCTAACCATTAAAAAATCGGTTCACGATGGATACCCCACCGGTGACAAATTGTGGATCCATGCGTATGAGCCATCAACAAGATAATAGGAATCACGCCAATGCGAGTATTAGTGTACGTCCTGCATATCGACTCAAATTAACGCCTTTTTGACAGGTCAAATTGCATATACTTTTTGGGAGGTCTCCGAAGATTGCATTTAGAGAATGGGGTACTATCAAAATGCAATGTCAGTTGGAGACTAATTAATAATTATACCATTCGTATTTCGTTGTAACCACAAGTTTTAAAATTGAAAAAAAAATCATTAAATTTACAAGAAACATTTTCCAAATATGACCTGAATTTCGAATTATAAAAATAAATTCTTCATTCTTCCCTATCGAAGGCAACTAACTGAAACTATCCATTTGATATATTGTATTAAATTGTTTTGTATTTTGTTTTAAATATATGTATTGTTGTTTAATGTAGACACATACATAGATAATATTCCTCATTTTTTTGTATATAGTTAAGTTATAGAACAGAACATTTATATTTTAGTATTTTTTAATAGATATATTGCAGAATAAATTAACAATATTTTTTTTCAGCAACAAATCCAACAGTATGTACCAATCGAAATAGACATTTACTATAAGAATTTTAAGACATGATTTTTTCCATAGCATTTTTTCGTTAAGTTAAGGATTAGGTTAGGAGGGGGATAGTTTTTTTATAGAAAAGTTGTTTTTGTTTTGTTTTTATGATTATTATTTTTAGTGTAACTTTATTGATATAATGATACGTTACAATTTGTTTCTTGTCTTTAATGGAAGTTTTTAAAACTTGTTTTTTTTTGTTTTCCTATTTTCAAATACTCAATAAGATGAATTTAAACTTATTTGTATATGTATATAGTATAGTTCCTAATATATGTATTTATATATACTTGTATAGGGTTTTTAATAATATGAATATTGATTTGTTTGCTAATCGTAATTGCTCTCAGTTATACTTTCACATTCACAATATGGATATTGAAGGTGTTTTTGTTTTCAGTTTTCATGCACATAATATAAAGTGTTCTCAATTGTGGATTGGCATTTGATTTAAAATTCAATATTTAGGATTTTAAAATAAAAAATAGAAATGGTGTAGTTGTAATTAAAAAAAACACTAAAAAAAACACTTGAAGGTATGCAGAAGGTCCATTCAGAAATGTCATTTCTGAATGTACTTCAGGATTTTAAAATAAAAAATAAAAATGGTGTAATTGTAATAAAAAAAAATAAAAAACACTATTATAGATCTTGAAGGTATGTAGAAGGTCCATTCAGAAATGTCATTTCTGAATGTACTTCAGGACAATAATCTAATCGCATTTAAAACGTCCATATTATGTCAAATTCTCACAAAATGACACACAAATGGCATCATATCGCAAAAAAACTGTACGTATTTTTTAATACCTCCAAAAGTTGTTCAGAATATAATTTATACTGGATCTACAGAAAAGTATAAATGATTTGAGCAGTTGAATGTTATCTCATCACTGCCCCTATCTATAGAAGATCCACAGATCATATATGATAAAGAACCTCAATGGAAAAATAAAGAACCTCAATAGTTCTCTGAATTGCCTGCTTTCCAGACAATGCCTATTGAATATCCATAGAGATCATTAATCTGTAGAATATTCTAATAAGTAATTTTTTGGTCGTGAAACACTTTGGGGGCATATTACAGAAATTGGTGGTCCCACATTTTTCTCTATAATTTTTTTGGTCGTGGAACACTTTACGACCCTATTACAAGTTGGTAATAGGTTACATATTAGACATATTAGTTATTCTCAAAAGACCCCAAGATATCCCAAATAAAAGCCATAGTTTTCTAGTCGTTTTTTGGAATTTGACTTGGGTCTAAAGGCTTAAAATGTTCAGTTAACGCAAGAAATAAAGCCGACCAACCTTGATGGGTCATTGAAATTCACGAAAATTAACCGGAAATTCATATTGACTAATGTGACCCATTTCCATCTTGCTAGACACTGGCTCAAAATACATAATTGTCGCAAAAGTTATTTTTGAGTAACGTCTTTATCCTCAACATGTGTCTGTTTGAAGCTGTTTATGACCTGACACTGATTGGATTGCTCTGACAAGCTACGTACCAAAGTATAATCGCAAATGTGATCGCAACTGGTCACAGAGATCTTGTGATTTAAAAATCTATGACTTTTTAATTTAATGTCACGTAAACAGTAAAATCTACTTGAAAACCCAAACGATTCATAACCTCATAGATCAGCATGCTTGGGCGACAATTCGTCTAACCTATAAACAATTTTTTTATTTATTAAAGTTCTGCCACCATCTATTAAAGAACTGTCGTTTTTCGCCCTTTGAATGTCTCGATAGAAGAATACAAAGCAGGTCTTCCGTCGGTTTGGAATGTAAAAATACTTGTATTTTGGAGAGTCCTAGTAATGGGTTTTAATTTTTTTAAGTCCTGTGAAAAGTCTTGCAGAATACCTACAGTAGATCGTACAAGTGTATAAGTTCGGCAATATATGTTATTTTTATAAGAGACGTGCATGAGGCTGATTAAAAAATTACAAAACGAATACATGACCTTTCTAATTGCAATGCTCTCCTCTGTTGTGTAGATTACATACAAATTACGAAACGATTATGGGACCTTTTTTTAAATGCAATGCTCTCCTTAAGGATCGACGCGAATACCCCAACGATTCATGACATCATATGTCAAAGGTTGGTTATATAAACAGGATATGATCCTTTCACAGTGCTTTCCGTGACAGAAGACCTCTTAGGCCTATTTATATATGTTATAATACTTGTGCCATACATATGGGGTCCTGAGAAAGGTCTCATGTATATTGAATAACCACAAGAGGTTGTATAGCTGTAGAAGTTCTGTAAAAGATGTTATTTTTATAAGAGACCTTTATGAGGATATTTTAAAATTACGAAACTAATTTTTGGAGCATTTTCATTTGCGATGCTATTGTTACAACTTTCTTCGCTATGGAATGAATTAAGTTGACAGCCGGAGTTGTGTATATTTCGGCACTCAAAACGTTTTCAGAAGACATATAAGTCTAAAGTGTATGCGGGAACAACGTAAGGAGGCGAACCCGGGACCAACATTTTAATGTTCAAAAAAATACATGTCAAAATGTCTTATTTAATTTCACGTATGGAACATTCGGGCATGTTCTGGCATTCACTTCAACGGTAGAAGTGTATCAAACACACGTCGATAATGTTGACGTTTATATTGTCGCAGTTCGAAAATTGCAATTCACGTGAAAAGCAGAACAGGAGGTAACTCCTTTAAGTGTATGTGTGAAGTGTAAAGAACACACCGTGAGTTCCAGAACATACCCAATTGATATGGGTAATGCAATAACATGTACATAATATGATTTTATTTCGTTTTTACGTCTCAAAGAACCTCCAGTCGAACAAATAAATTTTCTCTTCGAAACCAAATATTTGACCTTAAAGATATTTTGTAAAGCTACAAGAGTATAAAAGAATACATTACAGGAAAAGAAAAAAACTCGCTGACAGAAATTTTAACAGTTAAAATGTCACAAAATTGATATTTAGACACGATAATCACAACATAAACAGTTTATAAATAAAACAATGAATTGTTGGTATAATTTTCCAAAGACAGTGGCTCCAAATGATTTTAAATATTCAGATGAAGTTACAAACCATAATTTCGACATTTACATTGAGAACACTGAAATATGTGCGAGTTAATATGTTTCTACTAATATATTTCTTGTTTTTGGATACATTAATATATAGAATAACAAATTCGTTTCAACTTTAAATTTTTTATGAAGTTTTATTTCTGATTATTTTTTTTTCTTTTATTTTATTAATTTTATTATTATTATTGAGTCTATGCCTGTATATAATGTTCTTGCTCAGTTTTTTAGGCTTAGGCCTGGATGATTTTTTTTATTTATAATAATAATTATTTCTTCTTTTTTATAATATATTATTGTTGTTATAATATTAATACAGTTTATAATTATTTTTTTATATGTATATGCATTTTTTTACAATTATCTTCTATTATTATTTTTATGTATGTATAAACAGTAAATTAAAAATATATGTATTTTTAAATATATATATATATAAAAATTAAAAAATAATAATACAAAAAACAAAATATATTGTAGGTTCAATTCCAATATACATATATAAAAAAACTGAAAAATTTTATTAAACCACTATCAATTTCTTATTATTTTTTATGCCATTAAAAATGAGTAATATTTTATACCGTCTTTTATTATTTTCACATAGTTTTACTGAATAAAATTTTTTCAGACGGTTATTAGTTTTATTAATTATTATTATTTTATCTATAGTGTATTTATAATATATAGTGTAGGGGTTTTTGCTCTCTCTATTTGTTTTATTGTTATATTTATGTTTTATTATTATAGGTAGGTTATTTGTTTTTATATATATTTTTTATAAATCTATGATATTATTACTTAAGAAAATGACTAGGATAATTCCGAACATGACATTGGTGTACAACCAATTAGAGCAATTGGGAAATTTTTAACATGTGTTTGCCATTGCGATGATAATTGGAAGAATTTAACGCCAGTCCATTCGGTGCCATCGATATAAACTGTAATGATAAAGAAATGGAATGTGATTTAATTAAATGTTCAATATTTTTATAAACAAAACATTAAAATAAAAACATAGAGAAGTATAAATGTAGATTCCCTAGGACATTAGTAGGATTTGACACCCACGAAACTATGGAAAAGGTGAATAGTTAAAAGTTCGCAGAATAATGGATCGTAAATGCTTTGTTTGGGGAGTTGTTAGGAGTTTATACTCTTTCTTTCTTTCTTTCTATATTTTCACGTAATATTCTCAAATATGATGTACACTAAAGAAAATTAAACATGCCATGGTTAAAAATAAGTCGGGTATATATAAGGTCTAGTCACACAGAATATATTTATGATACTTAGGAAAACATGAACATGTACATCTGTTTCCATCGAACCCTAGAGACCATTAATTTCCTCTTTATATGACGATAAGGGTAAGGGGGAATCTTATGGACTACATTGCTCTACTATAGAGCTCTGTGTGAAGCGTTTCAATCGTTATAAAAAAAGTGAATCTATACCGAAACTTTTTTCCAAGAAGATTTTGTAAAATACTGGGTATCAGATATACAATTGCTTTGATGAACAATTTTTTAAAGTCTTAACATACCAAATTAAAGTCTAAATTCAAAATACTGCCAATTCGGATGGAAAATGTGGTTCACGTTTTCTAAATAATGAAAATTAAATGACACAGATGTATGAGGCCTATACCTAATGGTGCGTTTCACGTTAATACTTTTTATGACTAATTAGGGTATATTGGTTTAAGGCCCTGCTTTTTTGGACCAAATCCGTTTCAGACAATTCGGAGTCGATTTACAAATGTACGTCCGCCTGTCTGTGTGGCCGTCTAGTGTGCACTATAACTCTCGGATGGAGTAACCGATTTCATCCAAACTTTACACATAGTAATATTTCTTCCTAACTTTGTTTTAGTTCGAAGATGAAGAATATCGGTCCCCTCCTTCTGGTACTTCCTCCACTAAATTGTCAAAATTGAAAAAAAAATAATTTTATAATATCATACGAAAGAACATTGTACAACCTAATATCTTTACCAAGCCTAGATCAAGGCCAATGATGGAACCCATTGGTGCACTCCTTTCCTTGCCTCCCCCACAAATTATCAACATTTTCAAATGGAAGTCGAATGGTATGCCCGATTTAAACCAAACTTTACACAAACTATTATCTTTACCAAGCCTAGATCAAGTACGAAGTTGGGAGCCATTGGTCCTCCTCTTTTGGTATCTCCCCCACAAAGGGTCAATATTTCATAAACTTTTAAATTTAATTTGAAACTAATTGAATCACCAATTTGATGAACATTAAATTCGAAACCTCTTAGATAAAAACACACGCCTAATATAGAGCGAATAATAATATTAATATTTTTTTTTTTGAAATAGAGAGCAGGACTTCTATGAGAGAGGCATTATGAAGTTACCTTTAAAATGGCAACAAGTCATGTAAGGGTTTTCCAATATTGGATACGTTAGCTACCCAATCGAAATCTAAAATAAAAAGTATTGGTAATTCGGTTGGAAAACGTTTATACAAATCTTCAAAATACCGATAATAGGGGTTACATTTAAAATAGGACCTATTCCGAAGATTTTTATAGGGACCCATTCACTAAGAACTAAATTCAAAATACCGATAATAGGGACTACACTTAAAATAGGACACATTCTGAAGATTTTTATAGGGACCCTTTCACTAAGAACTAAATTAAAGCTGATGTGTTTATGGTTTGAACATGTGCGTAAAACATTCAAAATATTGAATCGTATATACCTAAACTTGGACAAAACTCTACCTTTAGAAATTCTTAAGATTACAACTGTTGGAGAACTGGATGGTGGGACTCCTGAGTGTTATCGGCAGATTAAGGCAATTTCTTGATGTTTAACAATTTTGAAGTTCTAAAATCTTCTTCTGCTTTGGTATTCAAATAAAAATCATATCAAAATCAGTTGGATGCCCACTCTAGAGTGGCACATTAAATCGAGATAGGGATGAGACCGAAGTCAAAGAAACACCCCATAATTCATTTAGGTTCCATAGAGGGTATTAAAGCTTGTACAATTGCAACATAAACATGTAGATTTTATTTCCCACCCATATATTCCGCTAATCTACACCAACAAATTTCATATGATCCTAAAACATATGGTGGGAAATTGGTCGAAGGGTCTAAGCCTAATTTGCAAACCTTACTGTCATTATAAATAAAATCGAAGTACATGTTGGACCAATAATAAAATACACAAAGGAAATAAATTAAAAGGTTTGGAACTTAATTTGTCTACTTGGATTATTCAGTTGAGAAATTGGTAAAAATTCAAAAATTGTCTGAGAGACAAACAAGTAAACAAATTATAACATATTTGGAAAAGCATTAGCAACACTTTTTCATATTCCAGATAGCTGTGTCCATATATTATAGACCAGAAAAAACAGGCGAAGTTATTTTGAACCAAACGATATCCCTTGGCAGAATAATACTCATTTCATTTATACACACATCATATAATTTATATAGGGTTATGTTGATTGTGAGGATATGGATCTAAGAACTCCTCTGGTATCCTAAGATTCTAATGACGGGTTTACTTTTGGTTTTCTATTCGGATTCTGAGTTCGAGTCACAGGTGGCGAAGGTTAAGTCCTAATTATTCTTTCTTCTTTATTTCAACCCTGGACTACAGTTGGCAAGACATTCACATCTGTATGAGGTGTTTGTTTTTCCATAATTTGTTTTGATTTGTTTTAGAGGAAGACCTCCATAATCAGTTTTAGTCCTCCTCCCCATTCGCCAAGCCACTGAAATCTAATCAATTTGTTTTCTGAGGTTTGCGACACCAAAGTTACTTGGAACCCTATATACCTATTAAATTTAAAAATATACAATGACCCTTCGTCAAACTTACCTCTCAATGGCACTGGATGTGACTGTTTTGGTGAGCATATTAAACGGGCAACGCCTTCAACACATTGCTCCTTTTCGAGATCACGATCTTTTTCTTTTTTCTTGCCCAAACGCATAACTGTAAACAAAAGAAACGCACGTTTAAATTTCATTCAAAAATTTGCCATTAAGATTCCCAAACTTACTTTGCTTTTGTTTCTTTTCTTTGGTAGCAAACGAGACAGTCAAACCATTCGATATTTCACCCAGCTGGGCATTTTGTGGCAAACGCCAAACCTGTAAACTTCTAAACGTACTCTTAATGCTATTCTTGCCACCCTGATCACTGCTCTTGGTGGCACTCTTATCCTTCGAACTTGAATAGTCCATGGGTCGGGCGATTGGCCAATAATCGACTTGCAGCTCAACAGCTTCATTACCCTGTAAATGTTGTGGTGTAGCACTAAAACTATCACCGAGACGTTCACGATGCGAGGATGCTGATGAGGGTGGTGTTTGTAGGGGTGGTGATATACGACCACTTTGTGGTGGTGAACCCGATAAAACACCGCCACCTTGTTGCAGACTTGATGATATATTTTGGTTATTTAATGGATTTTGTGGATTCGAATTGCCAATGGGTATGGGATTGGTAATTGATGATGGTTGCTGTTGTTGCAATTGAGGTTGTTGCTGCTGCTGTTGTTGTTGTTGTTGCGATGCAGTTGCTGTCGCCTGTTGAGCATAGTTTTCTTCGAGATCAAGGGAAGCCTGAGGGCCTTCTAAACAACCAATACGGACATCCTAAATGTGGAAACAGAAAGGATTATTTTTGAAATTCGGAAAAGAAATTTGTTTCCTAACTTACACTAACAAATGGCACAAATATTTGACATGAATCCTCATCCTTATAATTGACCATAGCCTCGGCTATGGGTATTTGTGTGCAGGGTCCAGCCGCATGCAAATATCGTTGTATACGATTCACTAACTCTACAATATCCGATTTAGAGGCTGCACCAGTCTCGGCCAATGAGGTGGCATTCACGGTGGTCACAGCACTGACAGCGGCTGCTGTTTGGGCCACCCGCTCACACAGCTGATACCAGTTGTCCGAGCCAAACATCGCTGCATAGGTCTGATCCAATTGACTGAGATGTCTCGCGATGGTACTGCTACCAATGGGTACAATATAAAATCGCAAATGATTTAACCAATCTGGTGGTCGTACACCCATTAGATCGACATAATGTCGCAGCACGGCACCCTGTAACCAATCGCCGCCAATTAATAGGATTTTCACTGTGGTGGGTGGTTTGGCATTCGAATTGCAGCTAAAAAAAAGAGAGAGAGGGAAAACATTTGGAAATGTTGTTTGGATTTGTAGGTGCATTTGGGGACTTACTATTTCTGTATTTTACCCATTAGGGCCTGCAACACAGCCTTCACCTCTGCCGTATTCTGTGGTACAAAGGCCGGTTTAAAGGAATTCGCAAACATTGTGGTTAATTTCGGCACTAAACTACTACAGCTTAAAGCTTCCGGTGGACTTATTATTGTCACCTCATCGGGTATAACCGAATCTTCACTGGCAAAGATGCGACTCAACTGATCCAGCAGCATTTTACGTGGTTCCACATTGGTGGGCGACAAACATGTCTCTAATACTGAGCGTGGTTCAGCACTTAGGCTAAGTGTCTGTTTCTTCTTACCGCCACCCGGTGTCGAACTAGACGACCGAAAGAGACGTGAACGTTTCTCATTTGATGAGGGTGTGGTTGTTGATGTGTTGTTGGTGGTGGAGTTATTCATATTGGTGGCATTATTGGCATTTTGTCCCATTGAAGCCAATAGATTGGCACTGGTATTCACGGGCGTAAGAGCCTGCTGTTGCTGATGTTGCATACGCATAAAGTCTCGATCGCCACGTGGTGGACTATTTTGTGGATCTGAAGTTTGACCATCGGTAAAGACGGCATTGCCTTCATTGCCGGAACTATCATTACGATTATCACAAAGACGATCTGAAGGAAAAAAGACAAAATTTTATTTAGGTTAGTTTCTGGGAAAATGTTTAAATTGTATTAACAAATATAATAAATAGTTTTGAAATAGTAATTATAATAATCAGAAAATAGAGTACCATAAAAATAAAATCTTGACTAAAAATTAATTTCTATTGGGGGAACAATTTGCATAGGGAGTGGCAGAAACATCTATACAAATTAGGTTTTTAATACGGGTTATATGCATTTCAAAAGCGTGCAATTAAGATTACAGTGAGGTGCATGAGAAAATTAAAATTTTGAAATTGACTGAAGGAATAGAAAATATAGAGAAAGGTAGAGCTTCTGACTAAATTATTTCGAGGAGTGGCGAAATAGGGGACATGCTTTAGAAATCTATTTATGAACGTGTACCACTGAAACACATTGGATCCGGTATCCTAAAATCACATTTTAATGTTATGCGATTGAAAGTAGAGCCTATTTTTCCCAATTAAACCGTGTGCTGAGGCATCGACAAATAAGATTATAATCCTCTTATCCTCTTATTTTTATGGAATAATTTTGGGCACGCTATGGTCCTATACGATTCTGGGTATGGGAAATCACAAAACATAAACACTTCTCAGGCTGTTTTAAAGCCGATTCTAAGTTTGTTGTCTTGTGGTGTATCACTAAAGCTATCATCCATACATTGACGATGTAAATATTCTGATAGGGCGGAACCTTGAAGGAAACTATGCAAAGTAATCTAACCCCATATTTTTCATTGCTCTCGTGCAAAATCCCTGTTGCAAAATCCCAAATGCATCATTGCTGGTTTTTAATATTCTCGATGAGGCTGACGAAATTGAGAAAATCGAAAATCTTCTATGCAGGTGTCGTGCTAGTAGGTCTTTGGATAAACCTAATTTCATAAAATTTGGAGTCGATTAAGAAATGACAATCTGACATACATTGGTGTCTGACTGCTGCTAAGGAAATCGCTGAGGAAATTGGGACAACCGAAAATCTATTCTGCAGGTGTAGTTAGAGTCATTGAATTTCGGCAGATATAAAATATTTATACCCTCAAACTAAGAGCTAATGAGATACAAGTTTCAGACAATCATACATCAAGTTCGAGGATGATGGCTATTGGTTCACTACTACTTTACTTTATCTTTCCTACGAAAATATTTACTTATAGATTTCATGGGGTACCTATGAACCAATTTTAAAGGGACTTTAAATGAAGGAATACGCTTTTGTGGTTTTCTGTAGGTGGAAGTATTTTCTTAGAACAACTTCGAAGATGCCTTCATCTTGTTCCACATCTTTTGGTAGCAACTTCGAAAAATGCTAACCTTTATCATACAGAGACACCGACCCATAGACTAAAACTGATACTTTGTAATTAATTTCAAAGGGACTTTAAATGATGGAACACTTTTTAGGGGTTTTCTGTAGATGGAAGTATTTTCTTGGAATATATTGATGATCCCATCTATTAGGAACAGTTTAAGACTCTGCACCCAGAATACTTTCTGAGGGCTTATATAATTAGGAATACCATTCCGAGTCTCTTTGGGTTATTAGATGTAAATCTCATTGTATAAATTTGAGGGGTCTTTTGTACTTGGAATACTTTATTAGGTCATATTTTAAAAAAATAATGCCACTCTGAGGGTCGTCCAGAGATAGAAGGATTATTGGAAGGATTCTGAGACATTTTGTCAAAAGAAATTATATTCCGATGGTCTTTTGGGACTTCTATTGATAGAAGAATCATCGAGATCTTCTAGAAATTGAAGACATTTCTGATAAAATCTATAAATAGGGCTATTAGAGTCTTTTGGAAGATCATTATTGAGGCATGAGAGCTTAAAAATATACGAAAGTTATTTTTAAGCTCTCATGCCTGAATATTGATCTTCCAAAATACTTTTTCCTAAATCTAGAAAAAAATTAAAAAGGCATCTTTTAGCGCGGAATTTTAAAATAAATTTTGAAGGCGCTTTAGTCTTCTTACATCGAAGTCTCCTTAGAGTTAATTTATACAAATACTTCCCTTTTAAGGATCCATATGTATCGAAGTCCCTTTAGAGATCAATTATACACAGAAGACTCTATAAACACATACAACCTAATATCCCCATTAACCTAATAAAATCACTATAAGTTGCTATTTTCCCCTCCTTCTTTCCCTCGCCTATCTCAATAACCATTTACGTCAATTCACCTAAAATTAGCTTGGGCAATATTTTAAATCGGGCACACAAGGACACAGTTACTTAATTCCAATTCATTAAACATTTCTCGATTACGAATTTTTCATTGGAATCTATTCTTGAACTCGACACAATTATGTAAAAGTTCAACTTCATGGTCTTTATGGTCAGGCTATAAATAACACGAAATTTTAAATAGTAATTTTTTATAATGGCAGCAGCACCAGCTAGGCGGCAAGCAAATGAGGAGCGTGTGAACAGAAAAAAAGACATGCATACATGCCATGCAACCACCATAATTTTGTGGTGAACAAAATGCATTTGCCAGCATCTAAATCAGTGACCCCCTCCCCTTCCTCCTTCATCACATCTACCACAACCAATATATAGATGACAGACCACAACAAATGGCCCTTGATGGATGGGTCGGATGCATTCTTAATGCCATCCATATATGTAAAAAAATTTCACCCAAATGGCTATGCGCGACCACACTGACACACATAATCACATGCAGCCCGGCTAGAGTGTGCCAAGTGTTGGAAGAGTGCGGGAAATATGGGTGGGAAATAAAATGTAGATTTTTCTGTTGCAATTATGCAAGCTTTAATACCCATCTATGGAATAATGGGGTGCTTCTTTTTCGGTCTAATGCCCTTCTCTGTTAGATGTGACACTCTAGAGTGGGCATCCAACTGATTTTTATCTGTTACTATTCGTATGGCAAAGCAGAAGAAGAAGAAGTAGACGGAAAATGTGGAAAACGTTGTCATCGTTTTGCCACATTAATAGCGAGTGGCTGCTGTGCCGTAATAATTATTTGCAACAAAGATTAAATTTAACAACACTTAGTGGAATATAGTTGTCATCTGTGACTGATTCTTGTAATGAGGGGGTCGCACCAGTCCCTCATCACGCGACACTAAGGGATTATAGATTTTCAAAAACAGTTGAACATTTGAAAGCGATTTTAAAATGGAGATTTTTGAGAATAAACAATTCTAGGGATTGGGAAGAAGAGCCTTTATATGAATAATTCTTTCTGGCGCCTTCTATTTAAATATTCTGAGGGTGTTTTGGACCTTCTATATATGAAGAATAACTATCCGACCTCTATCGGAACGTATAAAGGATAAAATACTTATAAAGTTTGGTTGGATCTCTTCCGTAGACGTAGGATAGCGTATTAGTCTCTATGTGACAAATAACTGATGTCTCTTGCTAGGAGCATTTGACAACTGCATAGGAGACAAAAAATACGCTCCATTGACATTCCCATTGGAGGTGGAAAACCTAATTCTACACTGGCCAGCTAGATTATTTTTAAGCCCTTTAGTGAACGTAGTTCTGCGTCGTAAAAATATGGATTTTGAAGTTTTGGATCCAGGTTTCAGGACTGTCTTACCGTATCGTATCTATCGAATGTGATAGCCAATATGGAGTCTAACAGACTATCCACTCTACAGATCGGGCGGTTGCGACAAATAATGGTGCCGCAGCAGCACATATCAGACATTGCCTTCTTGTGACTTTGTGTGTTCTCAAAAAAATTAAGGAGAAACACTGCATTGAAGTAGTAACTGGGTTGAAAATGACTTCTTCTTTAAGAGATGGTAAATAATATGAAGGCTACAACGTGGTCTTGAAAAAAAGTGAAATATTTTCTTAGGAAATACAAAATTTATGGCACATAATGAAAAGCCATTGTGGACCATTTTCCTGAGGTCTGATGTTTTGGTAGGCCCCTTAAGATGTTCTATAGATCGAAAATATTCATGAGATTTCTTCTACAGAGTATAAAATCTTCCATAGGTAGATGTTCTCCCTGAGATATAAAACATTCCGACCTTTTGCTATATAGAATACCCAATCTTTTTGAGAGCAAGTTGATGATTTATGAGATTTTTTATAAGTAGGCGATCTTTCCGAAGGATTCTAGAGATCGAAAACCTTTCCAAAATCGTTCATCAGATAATCGTTCACTTTCAGATAATATGTATCAAATTTTTCCGAGATATTCTATACGTAGAACTATTTCCGAAGCCTGGTGTATTCAAAAGTCCTAGGTATTCTATTGGTTAAGATCTACTCGAGGTCTCCCATTCGTAGAAACCTTACCAAGTATATATACATTCCAAGGTGTTCTATAGGTTAGTACCATTCCGAGATCTCCTATAAAAAAGTCATTCTATAAGGCATCTATTCATATCAGCTCTTCTTTAAATAAAAGTCAAGAAATTGTCTCTTGATAGAAAAGTGTCAAGAGGTCTTCTATAGTTAGAAGCCCTTCTGAATTTATACAAGATTTCTCGAGTTCTTCAGTCAGTATAGAAGCCCGTGATATTCTGTTGAAAAAAAATGTAGGAAAAATGCCTTATATAGATTAAAAGGGTCCTTTCAAAGATTTTCTATAAGTAGACTATTCTTATATAGAAATTGTCTCTTGAAAAGGGTCCTTTTAGAAGCCCTTCTGAAAGATTTTCTATAAGTATATTCTGACTATTCTGGAAAAATGATATAGATTAAAAGGGTCATTTTCTGTAGAAGGAAGACATCTGTAGAAGGAAGCTAGGCATCAGGACTTAGATAGAAATAGATTTATATTTCTAAGGTGTTTATATATAGGTATTTCTAATGAATTTTACAGATCTGCCACATACCCCATACTTGTCTGACACGATAGAAGTGAGTATATTATATTATTACGAAGTTTCAACAATTTGGCATTCAGAGACCTTGGAGGCTAAACAACTTCATCATTGAACATTTTTAATATTAATCCATGCCCTCATACAAATGTCACGCCTCATTTTCGGTATATTTAAGGTCCTAGCCCAATTTGGTGTTTAATTTTCTCCTGGTAGCAATTCATTACGATATAACTCCCACAAAAGGTCCCGGTCGGTATTTTGAATGACTATCACATGATGAAAGGGTAGAAAATTTCGGACCGATTGGACTTAACAACGGTTTTACTAGAAATATCGATGAAGTAGGGAAAGTTACAAATATTGTATGCTTTCTTATTTTATTTTTAGCGTAAATCATTGCAATTTAAAAAAAAATAGCAAAACATACACATGCACATAATCACACATCAATATAAAAATTTAGTATCTACAACAGACAAAAAATATATATATGTATATATATGGAGAAAAAAAGGACACATTTAGATAATCTTCGATAAATCTTTAGACTAGACAGACACTTTCTACAACACACATAGATAAATAACAAGGATTTCGCAAGCGGATTACAACAAAAAGGACATGAAATCAAACTCAAATGTACAGCAGTGGGTGGAGGGTGAGATAAAAATTAATAAAATATAAAAATATAAAATAAAATATGAAAACAAATTAAATAAAAAATATATTTAATTAAGAAAAATAAATTTATTTATTGAGGACTTAAACGACTCGTTCCTATCTCAATTTGGCTCAATATAGACAAATAGATAATATAAATACCAGAGATATATTTCCAAATTAATCTCGAAATTGTTATCTTTCTATGTTGTTAATTTTTGAACTATTTTTTGTTTTTGTTTATTTTAAATTAAATTCATTCTTCTCAATCATTAGCCCTTTTCTGTAAAATTCGCATTAACATTGTTCGAATCTATAAAATTGCGATTAACGTTTTGTTTTTTCAAAACTTACTAATTTATCTTTATTCTATTTAAATATGCTAAAACTTTGGCCCTAATAAAATATATATTTGTTTGCATGTAGTTAGTACTTAAATACTTAGAACATATATAGAAAAATACACAACAAATATAAAACAAAACAAAACAAAACAAAAAAAAAAAAACATAACATATATGCAAATCAAAACATAGCATTTGGTTAGAGAGGCATAACAAATAAATTTAAAATATAAATACATAACGACAAGGGGAGACATACAGACTTTAAGTGGGGGTGGGGTTGCAGTTAGGGGTTTGGGGGCAGATGGGGAAAACTGACATTTTTAAACAAGCTATTCGTTATTTTCATTCGGAAAGTCTGTGACAAAAAATTGGGGGGTGTTTTTTTTTGCTTTGAGGGTGGGGCAGAGTGGACAGACAAACAAACAAGTGACATAGGGGGTGGTGTGTGGTTAGAATAAATAACAGAAGGACTTTTTTATTAACAAAAAAAAACAAATTAAATTTAGACTCTTTTTCATTTTTGCTAAAAAATATACAAAATTTTTTTGGTAGTGTTTTTATTTTTTATTTTATTAATTACACAGACCTGCTGTTGGTGTTGCCGAATTGTTATTGTTTGTTAAATGAATGCATTTTTGCTTGTTATTATCAATTTGAAATGACGAATTTGTCAATTGGTCGCTTTTGTCCGATGATCTGCGCTCAATGTTGCCTGCAAAAAGAAATTTTCCGAATTCAAGCCATGCAATTACAAACAAATTAATACATAATAAAAAAATTAAATTTAAATAATTTAGTTTGGTGTTTTTTTTTCTGGTAATAATACATATAGAAATTAGCATATTATAATTAAAACGGAAGTAATAACAAATAAATAATAAAAGTAATTAAAATAAATAATAAATTAGTATTAAATAAATATAATAATGTTATGCATGTGTTAGTATGGAGTTAAAAGCAAATTGTAAACATAAGGGTTTGTTTGGGCTTATCATATGCAATAATTTTGTATAAATAATTATTAGTAGTTAATATTTAATAGAGTTATGCTAATTTGAGAGGAATGTTATTTTATCATGTTTGATCAAGCATGGAAAATATTAAATTTATTTAAATACAATTGTGGGGATTTTTTAGGCCCAGGAAAAGAGTTATGTATGTGTTTTATATCATTTGATATACTAAAATTTATTAATTTATATTATTAAAATATATTGTGAGACCCCATATTATTAGAATGGAAATGGTAACATGTTTGTTAGGAAAGAGAAATAGGTTTTAAAGAACATATGTGAGAGCATATAATTGCAGACGATCCATCATAGAAGACTTTTTACCACTACACTATTATAAAATTGGTCCTCAGTAAAGTGTCTATTTTTTAACAACTTTATTATTATATTTTTATAAGAAAAATACACAAAAGGAAAAAACTAAAAAAAAAGTTAATTGTGAAAAACAGTCTATAGTAAGAAAAGAAAATACAAATTTTGTATTAATATTAATTTTTCTTTAGATTAAAATTAATTTAGTAAAAAAATACAAAACGTAATTTCCAAATTTCTATAGGAAAAATCCTACATAAAACATCGCCGATGCCTGGGTTAATTTGTTTATACCAATACAAGTAAAAACGTCATTAAGTCGCAGTTCGAATTTGTTATACCATTTACCATGATCGGTAATATTATATGGTTGCTGATAGGAAATACCAAAATACCTCGAATATACGAACAAGTGAGCGGAGCAGTGTAGTCGGACGGGGCCGACCATACGAAACCCTACACAACTTCCATGAAAATCTAACTTTCTGTGGTTCTATATTCTGATATTGGGCAATATTTCGCGATATTTGCACACTTTTGACTGGCTAGAGGTCAGCAAATGTTACTAATAAACAGTACAGCACCTCTAATTACTTTCACCGTGGGTTGTGTTGTGATGTTCGGCTTTCGACTCGAAAAGTACAAATAATTAAGTTTTCGGTCCACTTCATCCGAAAAATATTATCTGATCATCAGCTAACATTTTAGGCGTTGTCCTTGACCATAACTAGAACCTCATGGAACAGCGATCAGCGCTATATTTCCGCCCTCCAATGTGGTAATAGGTTCCTAATTAATATATGAATACCTAAGCACCTGTAAATATTTAAGTATAACTCCCGCATCCGAGAACCTACGAAAAAATAATTGGCATCAATTTAAAGGTCAACCACTCCTCTTAGATATTCTATCAACTTCTCAGGTCTATGTCCTTCAGTGGTAAATATATACGCTATAGAATACAAATTTTGTCATTTTTCACACAAAAGTTAGGGTTCATTTGACCCGCTAAATATTGACCGATCTTTATCAAAACAGGCATGCTTATTCTTTGGCCCGATCCCCTTCTCAATGCAAAAAATCGCGGTGTTTGGGCCATAATTGCGGTCTCTGAAGCGAGCAGAAAAACCGGCAAAAATAAAGTTTTTGGTCCATTTCATCCCCTAAATATTAACCGATCTTTTCCAAAAACAATAGGGGTCTTCATTGGCCAGAACCCATCCTACATGCAAAATTTCGTGAAAATTGGTCCATAACTGTGGCCTGTATCGTGTTTACAAATTATAATGGACAGAGGGACGGACGGACGGACACACATGTCTAGAACGACTCAGCCAGTCGATATAAGACGATCGGTATACTTAAAGGTGAGTCTAGGACCAAAGCGAGTTAAGACGTCGTTAGACACGAAATTTTTATACCCCCATTCAAAATACTTAAATTCGATCGGAACTCTTATATGGCGGCTAAGCCAAGCCAGGGAAAAACGGAATAATGAACTAAACCCAACCTGGTTAAAAAAATTGTGCTATAGCCTTGAACATACCGGAAATGATGTGTGACCTTTGTATGGAGCTCGATAGAAAAACTGACTTATATTACAAAAATTCTGTGAAGAAGTTGTTTACCCACAAAGATCCCGAAATGCGAAAAGCATTCACGTCGAAATGCTAAAATATAGTCAAAAGTATCTAATACTATCCCAATATTTATAATGAGGGTGAATATAATATATGACAGTTATCCGCAAGATCGGCCCATATTTATAATTATTCCCCAATGAGAACTTAAAATATAACATTATATACAAAACTACCGATACTCAGGTTGGATAATTGGACTAGGACCTTAAAAATACCGAAATTGACGAGTGATTTTTTGATTTTTTTTGATATACTTATATTGAAAATATTCTGCGAAGACGTTTTCTATCCCCCAAGATCCCGGAATATCAAATCACAGCCACTTCGTAATGACAAAAAATGATCAAAATACTTATAAAGAGACTGATCGCCCTATATTTATAATATTTGACAGGAAGATTTTCTACCCATTTGTCGATCTGATTGGAAAATTGGACTGGGCCTTGATTTGTCATCGAATTACTATCAGAAATGTTGCTGATATTATTCGCATATAGTTCAGCTCATGCGTATAAAGTCTAAAGATCCAATTCGGAGAATTGTGAAGGTTTCCCTCACTATTTCCTTCCAATGCAATAGCGTTGTGCATAGGGACGTATGGTCAACAAGGAAAACTACCTTAGGTATGCTTCAGAAGTGCACAGAATAGTGTAAGAACCAATCATGGATTTTGCACCATAATAACGCACCAGTTCACACCTCAACCACCGTATTCACTAAAAACTGAAGACACGGATGTAAGGAAACGATTTGCTACAATTAAGGAGATACAAGCATTGAACAGGAGCTGTTAGCCCAAAATATGGACAATTTGTTTTTTAAAGGGGTTCAATGTTTTTTATTCGTTCCACAAAAAGAACTATATCATTTATTTAGTTCCCTAGTTCATCTAGTTCAATACTTAATTGGTACACTTCAATTGTTCGGCCAACGAAGGGGAAGATCTACATGGACGATTGAATTAAGAGGAATTAGGTGAACGAGTGCAAAATGAACGACTGAAGCAAAAGGACATAGAAGAACGATTGAACCGGATCGATTAATTTATGTTTTTATTTATTTTTGTTTCGAGATGAGTTACGTGATCGAAGTTGCAATGAAAAGGAGAGCCAGAAAGCTGTTGCTTAAGCAGTTCATAATGCTTATTGGGAAATGTGGCTTACAAATGTCGTTACCTGATATGTTGTATTTGTATCGAATTTTTCTTGTAGTGAAGGACTTTTTTCCATAAATCTACAATATTTTTCTTCCATGGTATACAACTGTATATTGTGCATCCTTAGGATGATAAGGAAGTGGCTTTGAACGATAAGGCGCCGGACAACAATTGGGAGATGCTATAGGAACTATGGTTTAAATCCCGGACGGGTCCATGCTTAATTTTTGAGTTTTATGCTTTTTACGGTCATTGATTGATGGCCATTTTCTCTTAAAATGCATAAACTCATAAAATAAATGGCGAAGCTTTTTTAAATAAACTAAACCTTAAATACTAGATTTTTATTAGAATATTCTAGAGAAAAATATCTTAATTTTCCCTTTAATAAAACTAGATTAGAGCATCTGGTTGAATGTCTCTGTTGAAATGTCAACAAATATAAAAAATCCATTCAAATTTTATTTTATGAATATAAAACGTGATTTTCTTCAAAAAATTTCCATTTCACTCAAGGGGACCTTTTGGGTTAAATGAACCGCGGCGTCATAAATTCACGAATCAGCTCAAGTACTTTCAGTCATTCACTCTCACAATGCACTTGAACCTCTTCATATTTATCAAAAAGAAATGAAACGAACCATAAAAAATGTATTTTCCATAAAACTACTAAATAATAAAAAAAAAACTGACAAATTTTCCAAAATAAAAAGAAAACATTAAACATAGCACAACAAGTCGCTGTATCCTTCACCCATAGTAAGATTTTCCCAAATTAATAATCATAAAAATCTTTATTTCATTGCTGCTTGAGTGTATGATGAGTGTGTGTGTGGCAAAACGTCGTCATAAACATAGAAATTATGGTTTTTTTAATTATTACACTTTTGTAGCCGAATAATTAAAATAAAAGAAAACTAATTGCTTTCTCACATAAATTTATGGATAATAAAAAAAATTACACACACTCTCATCTTTATAGTACACATCTATGACAAATCGTCACCCAAAACAAAAAAAATTTTTGGATGAATGAAGACTTCCAAAAAAAATTATATACGTAATACATGAATCATAAAATAATATGTATGTGTATGCGTACTTGTTTGAAAACATTAAAGGAATTTATGGAGAAGCGTAACAACAAATTGAAATGATTATGTGATACAAGTGCAACAACACAAATTGAATACAGCTTAATAAAAAAAAAATGTCTACATTGTTTTATTATCCATCATTGAATAGATGGTTTTTTTGTGAATAAAAGGAATCCGGGTTTTAATTTGGAATGAAAAGAAAGGGGGTATTAGAAGAGAATTGTATATTTTTTAAATTGATTGATGAAAGTACTTTATTGAATAAGAAAATAAAATAGAAACAGTAATGCAGTAGTTTTGATTTAGCTGCATTGTAAATAGCTGCGTTGCCTAAAGTCTTCGTATAGTTCGAAAAACGAACAGGAGAAAACAAATCACGCGAACAAACTTTATTATCCCCTTCAGAAAATAATACACTTATGTCAGAATTTTTTCCAATCTTTTTAGTATGGTCAATAGCTACTGTTTAGATTTTCTGGATTCAAAGGAAT